CGGCGCCGACCTGGCGGTGGGGGGAGCGGGAGCCGGAGCCGGAGCCGGAGCCGGAGCCGGAGCGAGCCCGTTCCCCGGGCATCCTCGCAGCGCGATGACCCTGCAGGTGAGCCGCTCTGCACCCGGTGAGACTGAGACGCAAGGAGGGGCAGGGCTCGGCTGCCCGGCTGTGCGGTGCCGTGTGCGGGACAGCAGCCTCCCTTCTGCGCCGGGATCGCTGCTGCAAAATCAAGGTGACTTTGCAGAACGGGAAATTTCCCCGAGCCTTTGGAGGTTAAATAGTGCATCGCTTTTCGCAAATGGAGGGTGAGAGACTTGCTGCTTATTTTGAACTATTCGTAGGTCACGTTCATTTTCGGAGCCTTCCCCGTTCAGAACGTGCATGAATTATTTTTCTTTACCTGTGCATCTGAGCTAGCTGGGACTGGATCATGCATTGAAAGGCACATACAGAGTTATGGAACAAATACACAAGGAGGAGGGAAACTTCTGGCACTGAAGCAGTGGTGTGTGTGCATTTAGGAAGCGTGGATAATCTTTAAGGGATTTGTGCATATTTGTTTTGGGTGTGTGTATCTTTGGAGTTTTGAGGGGCTTATGTTTTGGTAGGAAAGCTGCTGCTTTCTTTCTGGCTAGAGAGCTTCCTTCTGCCTTTTCCCTAACTACCAATTTAAATAGCTCCTGAAGAAATTATCTTCATCGCTGGCTTTTAGTCTCATACTTTTGTAACCACGTGTGAATACTTCCCTTGTCTTGCCCATGGCCTGATGGATTAGGCTGTTTATATTAATTAGGCATTCTGTTATCCCTTTCACTTCCAGGTTTACAAGCTCTTTTATTCCAGTCTCATTACAATGTCTGTCTCAGCTTGGTAGTGTGCGTGTTTTGCAAAGACTGAGCAACATAATGCTCTGACCTAGATGCAGGGAGTGTATTGCAAGTAGCTCAGCAATTTTCCTCTGAGCTGCAATTATGTCGAGTGGCACAGAGGTTCCATTGTGGTGTTTTACAGCTTTTTTCAGTGGGTCAGAATTGCCAAATCCCAAACATAACATCACCTTTTTCTTAATTAGCGATCACTGAAGTTATAGTTTGTTTTATTGTGCCTTTTATTTCCTCTAGAGAATAAATGTATTAGCCTGATGTTTAAGCAATTAATCATAAATCACTATCAAAAAGAGCTGAATGCAGTATGAGATGCCATTCCCTTGCTGTTTACAGTTATACTTCCACACAAAAACAGTGGTTGAAATACGACAGTACCCTACACATTCTGCATTAGATGTTACAGAGGTTTTCTCATCACTGTCACTATGACTGACAGCTACTTCCACAGCCACAACAACACGTTGGATCAAGCTGTATGGAAATGAGGGCAAAATGAATAAAATTGTGTTTTCATCAGGGAGGCTGTAAAATCATAGAAGATTTATAAGTTTTACAAGCTGGCAAAATATTCTGCTGCAAACAAAGACTTTGTTCAAGCTTTTATTCTTTGTGGAAAGGGAGCCTGTGGTAATAGCCTGGTGATTTGTGCATGTGGTGCATGTGTGTGTTTGTCTGTACATAGAATCATATCATAGAATCACAGAAAGGTTTGGGTTGGAAGGGACCTTGAAGATCATCTAGCTCCAACCCCCCTGCTGTGGGTAGGGACACATATACTTAAGCTTTTAATTTGAGAAGGAAATTTTATTGACACATTATTAAAAGGAAATTATATTTTTATAGGCTGCTCCTAAGCATGTTGTGTAAGCAAGCAAATCCTAAGCAGCAAGCTGTGCATGATGATTGGCTGGAGGGAGATGAAGAAAGAAGTTTCGTGTTTAAATTTAATTTCTGCATATTTCTTGCTGTGTAAGATATGTATTTGGTTATTTTTAGAGTTGTATCTTGTGATACTTGCCTATAGTTCCAAATAGAATAAAAGGATACAAAGATAAGCTTATTAGCTGAATGGTTTCTCTTTTTTTTTCTTTTTTTCTTTTTTTTAATCTTTTGTCTGCACAAGTCTAATGCCTGTAGCTCATTCTCAGTGAAGTTTAGATCAGAAAAAAATTCAAGGCACGTGGAGGATTTCCACTGACTTGAATGGTCCTTGTATGCCCGTGTTGGCAGAGGCTCACATGCAGTAGTGGCCACACTACAAAAATTAAGATAAAGTTTATTTAAACTTTAATCAGTTGTGGCAACTCAGTTGATACCACTTCTTAATCTTACTGTTAACAGAGCATGAATGCTGCTTTTGTTTGTACATCTGTGGATAAAAGTAAGAGATGTCTGTGATGTAGGAGTCAGTGATAGGTATAGTAGAGAATGTCACACTACTGGTGATTGGGTTAAGAATTAAGTATATATTTTAAAGAAGTTTTAGTGTAAAAGAAGTTGTAAGAGTGATGCACCATCACATTTATTTTCATAAGCAAACATACATCCCTTTTGAACATCTGTACCAACAGTGTGAGGGTAAATGCTTTGCTTTTAGTATTGTCAAAGATGGGCTGTTCCAGTCTCTCTCAGGTGTTACTGTCAGCTCAGTGCTAAGCTCCTGGCAGTGCTGTCTTTGTTTCCCCTCATCGAGCACTTCTCCATGACAAATACTATACATCTATTAAAAGTACCCTTGGTAGTGCCTACGTGGAAGTGTTTTTTTGCATCATTAGACCGCAGTTTTGTTGCCTCGGTGCAAAACTCATCCGTGTCCTGATGCTGCAGTGCCTGAAGCACTGGGCAGCCGCGAGGTGTGTCTGGAGTGACGCTGGGATGGGGCGGGATGCAAACCTGGGTCGCTGCGTGGCGACTGCCAAGGTCCCTGCTCCTGCCTCCAGGGAAGCATAACATGGAACAGGCCTATTCCCATGGAGGGATAAGCTCCCTATCTACCAAGGCACACGGTGAGGTAGAAAGTCATAGTGACAGTCCCACAGGCAGTCAGTTCAGACTCCCCTTTACCTTACAGCAAGGTGTGGGTCCTGCCCTGTGTGCCCAGCCTGTGGCTCAGGCACAGGGCACTGCCCTCCTGCCCCAAGGCCCCAGCTTCTCTCCTCACATCATGGGCAACTTGCTGGCCTCAAACGTGTCCACCCACTTTCCTGGTTTTTCTTTTAAAAGGAAGGAAGGATAGTAGTACTTACTTTCCGACTAACAAGGCCTATGGATTTCCTCAGTTCTTTCCTAACTGTACCTTGTCTCTGATCCTCTTTTCCTTGTGAATGGGAAGGAGCAAATCTCAAGCAGAGAACACAACACCTAATAGCAAACACTTTTCAGGACTCTATGGGAGTTAGAAGGCATAAAAAGGCATGCAGAGAGTCTTCTACCTTCCCAGTATGTAGGGACCTTCCATTCATAACTATAGTTGGCTTTTATTATTACTTAATTTAAATAATTAGGCTGCTAATAAGACTGCTTTTTGAGGGGCACCCTCCATAGTCTTTCCGAGATTTATTTCCTTATACCAATGTAACTATTTGTGGGCTACTGTTTGTGAGGTGCCCCCTGTGGGATTTGTCAGGCTTCTAAAGGGAACACTGGGCGACTATTACAGTCTGTATCATTAAAGTATTTAAGAGACCCTGTCAAGAGTGCTTAATTCTGCAGGGAGAGAGGGGAAATGTGGTGTTGACTCTGAGAGCTTGCAGCTGTCAGAAAAGCTGAGTTTTGCTTCAAAGCAAAGCAAAGGTTCTGCTCATGTGGTATGTATATAGTTTGTTTGGTAATTGTGTTTGGTAATTGTGTTTTTCTGCAGCTTCTCCCTGAAAGTTCCAGGATTTATTATCATGAGGACCATTTTTTTGTTGGTGGTGGTTTTGTTTTGTTTAAATGATTTTTTTTCCCCCCAACTCAGTTTAGCTGCAACTCGGAAGATTTTGTGTTTTAACACAAAGCCAAACAATCCCCTCAAATGTTTCTTAAACTCTTTGATTAACTGGGACAGAGGATACTTCATTTAATGCCTAACCATTTACTCTTTCAGATGAGGTGAGAAAGCTTGTACTTCAGTCTTCCAGGAAAAGAAATAATCAGATTTAATATTTCTGATGTTAAACTTCATAGAAGAAAATATTTTGCATTTTCTTTATCCAGAACAGACACACAAAAGAGCTTCTGTTGTCCATATAATCCATTCTTACTTGAGATCCAAGCTATTAGTTTAATTCCTGCTAGAATGGTGATTTGTTGGGATTGCGGTTTTTTTTAGCTAAACAATAGAGTACACGGGAAAAAAAAAAGCGGAGATGTTGTAACGTCATTTCAATGTTACTGATTCCACTTTTATGTGTTTTTGATTAAATTACATATATTCTGGGTGGTTTGGTTTTTCATTGTAGAGAAATTCTGTATTTGTCTTGCAGTGCTCCCAAATATTTGGTTGGTTAAGAAAAAAATTTTAAAACCCCACAGTGTTTAGTTATTTTTCAAACAAATCAGACACAAAAAGTTGCGCTTAAAGCTTCGTGTTTTTCTGTGATTCTGTAGTACAGGTCATTTTATTAATATTGAAAATAATCTTTATTAAATCAGGAAAAAAATGCATAAGCATAGTTACATTTTCAGTCTATAATATTTTAGATTTAAGAATAGAATTTGGAAGCAATTTGATTTATTATTTAATACAGTAACTCTGCCAAATCATATACTTTGTTAAATTACTAAATTTTAGAGCTTTAAACAGACAAATAGCACTTGGAATATTCTCAGTATTGTACTGAGTAAAGAAGGATCATTATACTCAGAATAACTCCACATAACAGCAGCATTTCTCAAACCTAAAATTGATACTGTTCTAACAGCATAGCTGTTTTCTGTACTTCTGCATTCACTACTGTGCACTTGGTTCTAGGAGGCCTTGGTGAGAATTTTCTGGAAACTTTTGCTTGTCAGTTATGCAAACACTTCCTTGCTGAGTTTGAAGATTGTTTGTTAACACGCAGTTACATTGCTGCAGGATTTTTGGTCTAAAGAGCTTTCCTTCCATTGCATAAACTGTCAGAACTAGAGACATGTATTATCATCATGAATACTTCCCATCTAATGTTCTGTGAATTCATATCTGCAGTCTCAAGAAGTTTCAAGATTTACTTTTAATGGCTGTTTTGCCAGGAGCATTCCTTTGCTAGAAAATCTTTTTAGTAATTCATCATGATTTCTTTAAAATGTCCCTTTTAAATACATCTGTCTGCCTGCCAATCCTGGTTTCAACTCTGGTGTTATAGATGTATATCCTCCTATGGTGAGCATTTTCATTCTTAGAAGACCTGTAGTTTCTCTTCGTGTTTCAAATAGCAATTGAAAATTTTGCAAAAAATAAATGTATACATTCCTGGGAAGTTTGTATCTGGGAACTTTACTCACTAGCCAATCTAAACCTTCAGGAAAAAAAAAAAAAAAAAAAAAAGAAAAAGAAAAAAATGCACTCAGTAGGCAGAGAGGATTCACGTGGTGGGAGGGCTGCCAGGTTTCTGTGCAGGAAGGCTCCAGCACACTCAGCTCCCTGTCCTTATTCTTTTCCAGTTGTTTCTACTGCCTCATTGCACCCACCAGCTGATGTGGCCTTTCAACACTCAATGGACAGTTTTCTAATTCCATGAAGGGCCTTTCTTTGAAGAAAGATCCTTGAGCATCAGTCTCGAATGAAATTCTCACTCATTTTTCCTTCTTAAACTTAAGTTCAGAAATAAACTTTCTCTTGACCTTTCTCTTTATTTAAATACAGAATGCTACAGTGAACCCAGCTCTCTTGTGCTCTTATTTCTATCACCTGGTGCACCCAGCACAGTCAGTTGCCAAGGAGAAAGGCATCAATTAAGGAGACAAATGGGCATTAGGTTTTCCTTTTTTTATTTTATTTTTAATATTTCCTGTAACTAGAGAAAGGAAAAAGTTGCCTAAAGCACAGTGCAGACTGCTGAGGTACTGGCAGACTCTTAGTTATTTAAATGGAGCCACAGCCCTCACGCTGAAACCATTGTTGAATACATCACTGATTTCAGTGCAAATTATTTTAGCAAAGGCTAAAATAATTACTGAAATCAGCATACAGGGTATTTAAGAGCCTGTATCTTTTTTGCATTATAGTAATGCAGTGACCTGGTGGGTCTGTGGTCATGGTACAAAACCTAGTGCTCTCTGAAATGTCCTGGGCATGAAACAGGAATCCAAGCTCTATGCTAAAGTCTAGCCTGAGACATAGTATATTGGGAGAACAACAATGATGAAAGGAGTAAGTTTATACTTCACTCTTGTTCTCCATTTTGTTCAAGAGCTGGGTCTTGAAGGTGGTCCTGGCAGTGGCACCGCTCATCTCCATGAGCTATGTCTGTGCCAGCTGTTGGTCACCTACTGCACTGTCAGCAGAGAAGTGGAAATGGAGAGGGATGTGGGCAGCACCCCTCAGATGGTATTTGAGCTCCCCCACTGAGCCAAAGCTGTGCACTCAGGGCCAGAAGGATTCAGAGATTGCTGCTGGTGTGAAGTTCAGTGAATGCCTTCATGCCAGCAGTGTGACTGTGAAAGACAAACACTACATACAGGCTGCCTCCTGACACTAGGCAGGCCGTGATGGTTCCAAGCATTAAGATGTCAAACTGTTGGAAAAAAGATGTTTACCTATTTGAGCAGTGCTAAGTATGCCTAGTCCCCTTCCTAATAACCTACAGTTTTATTGAGCTTGTTTCATGGGAAAATGCCTAGACTTAGCACTAACCTAAGTAATGGGGAATATGTAGTGATACTACTGTATGTGCTGTACTTAATCATTTAAGCAAACCCTTTGAGAAGAAAACTATTTTTTTTCACCAGGCTGACTTTGATGGTGCTGCAGAAGATGTAAAAAAATTAAAAACAAGACCAACTGATGAAGAACTGAAGGAACTATATGGATTCTACAAACAGGCTACTGTTGGAGATATTAATATTGGTATTCCTATTGTTTATGTGTACTTCACAGTTACTCCAATATCTTGATAAAATCAAGCAAATGTTATCTAAATCTGCATGATAATCAATGTGTGCATTTATTTTGGCAGAATGTCCAGGAATGCTAGATTTGAAAGGCAAAGCCAAGTGGGAGGCATGGAACCTGAAAAAAGGTGTTGCACCAATTAAATTTACACCATTTAGTCATGTTTATAGGATGACAAATGTGGAAAGATAATGATTCCTACTTTCCTTTGCAGGTTTATCAAAGGAGGATGCCATGAATGCCTATATCTCTAAAGCAAAAGAAATGATAGAAAAATATGGAATCTAGAATGCTCAAAATTATTCCCACTCAACTAAGTCTTCAGTAGTTGATGAACTAACTCTGTTGAGAAAAATGTTATACTAACTCCTGATTGTGTAATCGGACAGTAAAATCTAAGCAGAAGCTGTTTTCATGTAAAGGGTGTTTACACACATACTTTGTTTTTAGATTGTATCTTATTCTAAATAAATTTCAACCTCAGAAATTAAGTTTCTGTAAGAATTGTGGATTTTTCTGGGTAAATTATATTTAGCATTTTTACAGGAGCACGGCAAGAGAGGAGCTCTAGAAGCAAAAAGCATTGCTGTCATTTTTCACAAATGAGGTTATGGAAAGAAGTGAAGGGTTTGTGTTTATACCTTCTGCCTTAAAACAGAGGAAACTACTCATAGACCAGCATTTTCTATACATTTTGTTATGTGTTTTGTCAAGAAGATTTCATTAGAGGGTTCCAGCAGATAAAAGTGACCTCCAGGAATCTTGTAGAAGGAAGTATCTCCACTTGTTAGTTCATTCCAGGCTAAAAAGGATATTCAAAGTGTCAGGGAAATGTCAAGTGTTGTGATAATTTTGCATAAGTTTTTTGATGTTATTATTTAATAGTTATTTTAAGTCCTGTATCAGCTGTGTCGGTTCATACAGTGATGCTGCTCTGTTATCTGTTTAATTTAAGAAGGTGATACAAGACTCTAGGAATCTCTTCATTAGCCGATTCCATACAACAGAAAAATAGGTAAGAGGGAAAATATTTAAGCAAAGTACCTTCTAAATCATGTGGTTTATCTTCAGACCCATCGAAGCAGGTAACATCACAAGAGAGGGGGATTTTCCTTTCTGACTTCTCAAAACTGTGAACATAAAAAGTAGTAATAAAACTTGCTGTAAGATAACCTGCATTTGGGGTTTGCATCCACATACAAGATAGCTTGTTCTTTCTTCTCCAAAACCTAACACACTTCGGGCATTAGATTGTGCAGAATCCCAGGAGAAGGGATTACTGTAGCTCCTTACCTTTCTGCAGTTAGGTCTAAAATGTTAAAGAGAGAATGACCCAATAGTGAGGAAAAAAAGTTTCAACCTGCAATAAAAATTCTCACCTACAACGAACGATTTTTTTGTCTGCTTACATTCAAATTCTAATGATTCAGGGCCTTATTGGTGTCAAGTTCCTATGGCCAAAACAGGTGGTCTCACATCCAAGAATGTCCTTGTCTCTGCCAGGGTAAGAAACCTTAGCTACTGAGCTACAGGAGCTGTTGTTTAACATCCCATGGGGGCAGCAGCTGGGACAGAAGGAGCTGGTAGCTCTAGATGCCTAGAACACGGGGATTGGTTTCTCCTGGTGAGGCTGGGGTGGCTTGGATCAAGAGGCTGAATGCAGTGATCCTGCAGCATGATCAGTTGAGCTTACTAGCCTCAGAAAACAATAAAACATGACAGAATATTCCATTTAGTGTCTTCTAACTTTGGATCCTAAGTAGAAATGTGATTCTACCATGACATGTTCACTACTGTAGTTACAGCTGTGTTTGCTACAGTAAGCAGTGTTTTCATCTAGGGCTCAAACATCAGAGCAGAAATGGAAAAGCACACAAAGAAGAAAACTATTTTTCCTGTTTCCTTTTATTCTTATAAAAGAAATTAGAACAAATTGCAGAGAAAGAAAACCTGAAATGATCAGATAAAACTAAAACTGTAAAATACAAAAAATAACAATTGTAAAACTTACGAAAATGTCTGAAGAACTCTAAGGTCTTCTCTGAAAGTGAGTATCAGATGTTTCTTAACATCTTCGTTTTGCAGAAGCTCAGGAGGAGTTCCTCCTAGGATTTGTATATATTTAAGAACATCTTCATCTTTTGCATCACGTATGGGTATGCTTTTGATGAGAGGAAATGCTTCAGACTGTCAAAACAGTCAGACAGACAGATCAGGTGTTGCATGTAATATACTTTAAATAATATTTTCAATAAGAATTATTTTAGTAAAAAGTCTCCAAAACACAATGACTGATTTGTTTAACAGTCACAGAAAATACTTCTTGGAAAGGGTTAGTGTGCTGAAAATGCAGATTGAGTGAGCCAAGTACCCTCAAGGTTTCAAACTTGCACAGACAAATAACCATTGATTTAATTTTGTTCAAAGGTTAACTCTTACTATTGAAACACAACTAATACAATAGTCTAGTTAAGAGAAAGAAAAGCCTATCAGGGGACACAAATCTGACTAATGTAGGACTGGAGAGACCAACTGATGGCAGAAGTTTGCAGGAGTAATTGCTCATTCATTCAATATACCAGCTCATATTCAGGCTTGCTAAGAAGCCCCAGAAACAGAAGAATGGAAGTAGCAAATTTTGTTTAAGGACAGGAGGGTTGGGAAAAAGCCACTTCACTGTTATTTACTTGAGAAAGACTAGAAGAGTCACAAGAAATGCAGAAGGACTTGAAGACATATTAAAAAGCCAATGAAGGTTGTGCAGGAGATTTATGGAAGATTAGGTTAAGACATGTAACAGTAGGAAGCAGCACTTTATGTTTTGTTTTGTTGCATTTGAGTATTAAGCTGAAGGCCACAGTGACTAATATAGTATGCAAAAACGTAGCATTAGCTCAAGGAGACTCTCCTCCCTAGGCTAAGGTTAGCAGCAGTGTGTGCCCTGCAACGTGGAATTCTCCATCCCCTTCTGAATTCATTTCTCCTAAGAAAACATAACATTTTTCTTCGTGCATCCAGCAGCAAAGCTTGCTCTGTATTAAAGCCACTCTGCACACCATACTGTAAAATGTCATTTTTTACTCTCTGTAGCTAACACACTGTTTTATTTTCTGATGTTAATTATTCTGTAACTTACGTTTGGGGCATGTGCCCCCGACACAAAAAGGTGGATGGGCTCTAGTCCATACTTTTCCTTCAAGTGCAGCGCAACTGCAAAACTAATATAAGAACCAAAACTGCAGCAAAAAGAGAAATGGAAGCAAAGTAAGCAAGAACATACATAGAAACTGGAACATTTAAGCATATTTTGAATTTCAGTGCTAACTCATTCACTTGAACAGTTACTAAAAACCTGTATGACATGCAAATTATAGTGATGTTAGCTAATTGAGAGGAAGTATGTGCCTACACAGTCTAGCTTTACAAATCAAACCTTTTTCAGTATCTCTTTTAGTAGTCTCCTCCATTTGCAATAAGATGACTTATTTTGAATACATGGGACTAATTGATCTTCAAAATCTATGAGTTTTATGCATGGTTCATGCCCTGCATTCACAGAGAGTAAGCACTGACACAAATATTAGCAGTGAATACAATTCTAATTTATCAGTGTAAAAAAAAAAAAAAAAAAAAAAAATCACAACACTGCCATTTATAGAACCATTGTGCCTGCAGTAATAAATAACCAGAATCTTTTAGCATGTTTTAGGATGACTTGACAGAAGACCTTTGCAGAAGGTTTTTGCAAATAAAGGCAAGCAACTATGTACTTCTAGAGTTCAAATAGAGAATTCCTTCCCCAGGGTATCTAAAAATGTATATATTTTTACCTGTGACCAAAAAATGCAAATGGTTTTTCTTGCAGTTCTTTTAACAAAACACTTGTAATTTCATTAACTACGGTCTCCATGTCTTTTGCAAATGGCTCCCTGGAACGAGATTCTCTTCCAGGAAGCCTGAGAGAGGACACTGCAGAAGGGAGGGAAAGGAAATAACAGTCATTTTAAAGAGTAACAGTCAAATAATTTTAAGTTTTTTTGTCTATTCTGCAGAATATGTAGATTATTTAACTTAAACCTTCTTACAGGTGATAAAATGTTCTTGCTATTGCTGTCTTTTAATCCTGTCAAAGGTTAGGTTTCCATCCCTTCTTCTACTCACAAATGTTGCCTGTCCAATTGATCTGACTGATAAATGCCTTGGGTCAGAAATCCACAAGGTCTTGATCTCAGCTGAGGTTTCAAAGCAAACTTGTTACTATTAGTATTCATAATAACCACAAATTAATTAATTTCAATAATAGTAGGGTTGTGTAAAATACATCCTTTCAGGGGCAGCATTATAAAGTTGAACTATGCTAGAATTGTACTGTCCCCGTTTTCTTCCTTGCAGGCTCTTCAGCACTGGAGACAGTAAAATGAGGAATCATGGTATACATTGATGGCAATTTATCTTTATATGGAAGGACATATTATAGGCTTTTATAATATTTCTTTTAAAAATGGGAATTTTCCTCTCAGTTTTTAAAGAAAGGAAGGAATTAATAGATCAGAAAACAATTATGATTTTCTAAAATCTCCATGACATCACAAGTACTGCCAAACTCATATGGAAGTAATGGGTTTAATGCACCCTAGGTTTATTCATCTGTGTTTGCAGTTCAGTTGCTTCTATGACACCTCCTTAGTAAATTTGTTGGAAGTAGCTCCAGTGAACAAAAGCTTTTTTTGTTTGAGTTTTTTTTAAATTTCAAGGACAACTTGATGTGACTTGTGCAACTCTTTATGGAAGCATACAGGCATTTAGAGGACTGGTACAATTGTAATGACAATGTTATCTCTAAATGCTAAATTATTGTTTTTCTTTGTGATAGATCTGGAAAATGGCCTTGTTTGTTTGTTTTTTCAAATGGCTCAGTAAAGGATCTTTTTAGTGCTGATACATCCTGATAGCAATGAGGATTACTTTGCACTGTAACTAAATGTCATTTCACTGTTATAAACCCATAGTTTAAACTTCAGTTTTGATACAAGGAGTACAAAACCATGTAAACACTGTGGATAATGGAAACTTGTTCTGTGCAATCCTTCAATATTCAAAATCGTTCTCATATCTTCACTGTTAACCTTGCTGATGCCTTTTTTAAGCAGACTAAGAGTGTTGCTGTTTCTGAACATTCCAGTATCATTCCAATAGTTTCTGAAGCAGTCAGCATACTCTAGTCTTGTGAAATTTAGCTCTGAGGATGAATCTTTTTAATGTAATTAAATTTGATCCAAGGTGGTACAGGAGCATAGTAAACTCAGCACCCTGATGAAAATGCTAATTCCTAATGGAATTATTTTCTGGATAAAAAAACATTGAAACAAGATTGCAGTGCTCTCAAGAACATTATATTCCATTAAAAAAAAAAAATGGGCTACCATGTACTTTTGACTTGCTTAACTTCTGCTTTACCTATACAAATGACTAACCTTCAATTGAGCTGCTG